GGAGTGAGTCAGAGACCCAAAGAGGGAGACTGGCCCCACGCCAGACACTCTCTCCCACCAGCAAGTGGGTGCCTCCAAGCTGCGGGGAGGAGTCGGTACTGATGAAGTGACCAGGAGAGAAGCACGAGGAGACGCCCCAGAGAAAGAGCATGGTGAGAGGCAGAGAGTGAATCCAAGGTTCCAAGGAGGTCCAGAACCCCGGGGCAGGGGCGGTCACCCAGGAAATGGAGGAAGGAGAGACTGAGGAGGGAAGAAGAAGTGACCCCAGGGAAGGAGGGGTGGAGAAGGAGCAGCTTGGCAAGTCCGGAAGAGGTCAAAGGCCTGGGAGGGGCCCCTGCTCTCCAGGGCTCAGCTGTCCGGCTCTCAGGCAAACAGCTTGCATCTCTCAGTGCCTGTGCGGACAGCCATGGAGTGGTGTTAGCTCAATCAGCACATCACACTGGTGGGGATCCAGCCCCTGAGCTGTGTAGGAGGGGCTGGACAGGCGGTGGTTCCTCTGCAGGTAGGGTCTCAGGACCCAGGTGTGGGTGGCAAGCCACCCAGGTGCCGAGGCAAGAGATCGAGGGCGCGAGCTGTTCCGGTATAATAAAATATACAAAATAATAGTTATACTAGATATAGATAATAGATATGATTATATATGAATATCATTAATCATTAGTCTATAGCATTTACTCTAATATTATAATAATCCTTGCTCCACAATCATAACCTAGGAAAAACCAGGCCATACAGAGATAGGAGCTTAGGGGACATAGTGAGAAGTGACCAGAAGACAGGAGTGCGAGCTTTCTGTTATGCCCGGGCAGGGCCACCAGAGGGCTCTTTGGTCTAGTGGTAACGCCAGCGTCTGGCGTTACCAAGTGGACAGCGTTACCAAGTGGGCTGTGGTCTAGTGGTAGCGTCAGTGTCAAGGAAAAGCACCCGCTACTTAGCAGACCGGGAAAGGGAGACTCCCTTTCCCGGGAGGAGTTCAGAAAAGACTCTGCTCCTCCACCTCTTGTGGATAACACCCACAGTTATCCAGAGGCCTAACCATCTCCATGTGATGCTGTGTTTCAGTGGTCACACTCCTAGTCTGCCTTCATGTTCCATCCTGTACACCTGGCTCTGCCTTTTAGATAACAGTAGCAAATTAGTGAAAGGACTAAAAGTCTCTGATACGCAGAAATAATGGCGTAAGCTGTCTCTCTCTCTCTCCTCTCTTTCTCTCTGCCTCAGCTGCCAAACAGGGAAGGGCCCGCTCTCCAGTAGACATGTGACTCATGTGACCTTACCTATCATTGAGATGGCTCTCACTCCTTACCCTGCCCTTTGTCTTGTATCCAATAAATATCAGCGCAGCCAGGCTTTCGGGGCCACTACTGGTCTCCACGTCTTGGTGGTAGTGGTTGCCCAGGCCCAGCTGTCTTTTCTTTTATCTCTTTGTCTTGTGTCTTTATTTCTACAATCTCTCATCTCTGCACACGGGGAGAAAATCCCACCGAACCTGTGGGGCTGGACCCTACACCCAGGCTTGGGGACAGTCCCTCAACCACATCCTATGGAGCACTGGTGAGATTCTGGGACCGGTTATGAAAAGTCTGGTTGGGATGCCTTTGGGAGATAACTCAAGGGCAGTGATGCCACAGAGATGGTGCTGGGTTTGAATCACGGTTCAGCCCCTCATTGGATGTGAGAGCTCACACAGTTCCCTTTCGAAGCATTAGATCCCCCATCTATAAACTGGGGTGAGGGCTGGGCATGGTGGTTCCTGCTTGTAATCTCAGTACTTGGGAGGCTGAGGCAGGCGGATCCCCTGATGTCAGGAGTTCCAGGTCAGCCTGACCAACATGTTTGAAGGGGGCCTGCCCCTCCACACCTGTGGGTATTTCTCATCAGGTGGAGATGAGAAACTGAGAAAAGAAATAAGACACAGAGACAAAGTACAGAGAAAGAACAGTGGGCCCAGGGGACCAGCACACTCAGTGTGCGAGGACCTGCACTGGCGCTGGTCTCTGAGTTCCCTCAGTATTTATTGATTACTATTTTCACTATCTCTGCAAGGGGAGTGTGGCAGTAGAATAGGGTGATGGTGGGGAGGAGGTCAGCAGGGAAACATGTGAGTAAAGAAATCTGCATCATAAATAAGTTCAAGGGAAGGTACTGTGCCAGGATGTGCACAAAGGCTAGATTTATGTTTCTCTTTACCCAAACATCTCAGTGTAGCAAAGAGTAACAGAGCAGTATCACCGCTAGCATATCTCACCTCCAGCCATAGGGCAGTTTTATCCTATCTCAGAATAGAATGAATGGTCGGCTTTGCACCGAGACATTCCATTCCCGGGGACATGCCGGAAACAGAGGCTGTCCTCTTGTCTCAACCACAAAGGGGCCTTCCTCTTTTACTAATTCTCCTCAGCATAGACCCTTTATGGGTGTTGGGCTGGGGGACGGTAAGGTCTTTCCCTTCCCACGAGGCCATATCTCAGGCTGTCTCAGTAGTGGGGACAATACCCAGGCTTTCTTGGGCAGAGGTCCCTGCGGCTTTCCACAGTGCCTCATGTCCCTGGTTAATAGAGAATGGAGAATGGTGATGACTTTTACCAAGCATACTGCCTGCAAACGTATTGCTAACAAGGCACATCTTGCACAGCCCTAAATCCCTTAAACCTTAATTCAATACAGTGCATGTTTCTGTGAGCACAGGGTTGGAACTAAAGTTACAGGTTAACAGCATCTCAAAGCAGAACAATTTTTCTTAGTACAGATCAAAATGGAGTTTCTGCCGGGCGCGGTGGCTCAAGCCTGTAATCCCAGCACTTTGGGAGGCCGAGACGGGCGGATCACGAGGTCAGGAGATTGAGACCATCCTGGCTAACACGGTGAAACCCCGTCTCTACTAAAAAAATACAAAAAACTAGCCGGGCGAGGTGGCGGGCGCCTGTAGTCCCAGCTACTCGGGAGGCTGAGGCAGGAGAATGGCGTAAACCTGGGAGGCGGAGCTTGCAGTGAGCTGAGATCCGGCCACTGCACTCCAGCCTGGGCGACAGAGCCAGACTCCGTCTCAAAAAAAAAAAAAAAAAAAAAAAAAATGGAGTTTCTTTCTTTTTTTTTTTTTTTTTTTTTGAGACGGAGTCTCACTCTGTCGCCCAGGCTGGAGTGCAGTGGCGCGATCTCCGCTAGCTGAAGGCTCCGCCTCTCGGGTTCAGGCCATTCTCCTGTCTCAGCCTCCAGAGTAGCTGGGACTACAGGCGCCCGCCACCATGCCCGTCTAATTTGTTTTGTATTTCAGTAGAGATGGGGTTTCAGCGCGTTAGCCAGGATGGTCTCGATCTGACCTCGTGATCCACCCACCTCAGCCTCCCAAAGTGCTGGGATTACAGGCGTGAGCCACTGCACCCGGCCAAAATGGAATTTCTCATGTCTTCCTTTTCTACATAGACACAGTAACAGTCTGATCTCTCTTCCTTTCCCCCACATATGTGTGGGCGGAGGATTACCTAGGTGCTGAGGCAAGAGACTGAAGGCACAAACTGTTTCAGTATAAAAAAGAAAATAGAATAAGAATAGTCATAATACAAATTAGATATAGAGATGATCATAGACAATTATCAATCATCATTATAAGCATTATTAATCATTAGCTTTTAATATTACTCTTTGTTGAATTACTAATATAACCTAGGAATAAACGGCGGGTATAGGGTCAAGTGCTGAAGGGACATTGTGAGAAGTGACCTATAAGGCAAGAGGTGAGCCTTCTGTCACACCCGCATAAGGGCCACTTGAGGGCTCTTTGGTCAAGCGGTAACGCCAGTGTCTGTGAAGGCCCCCTGAAGGGGTGGCCTGCCCCTTCACACCTGTGGGTGTTTCTCGTTAGGTGGAACGAGAGACTTGAGAAAAGAAATGAGACACAGAGACAAAGTATAGAGAAAGAGAAAGTGGGCCCAGGGGACCGGTGCTCAGCTTACAGAGGACCCATGCCGGCACCGGTCTCTGAGTTCCCTTAGTATTTATTGATAATTATCTTTACCATCTTAAAGATAAGGGAGTGGCAGGACAATAGGATCATTGTAGGGAGGAAATCGGCAGTAAGACATATGAACAAAAACCTCTGTGACATGAATAAGTCTGAAGGAAAATGCTGTGCCTTGAGATGCATATGCAAACATCTCCATAAACCTTTTAGCAGCATTGTTTCAGCCTATCACATGGGGAGAAACCTTGGACAATACCTAGCTTTCCTAGGCAGAGGTCCCTGCGACCTTTGGCCGTGTACGTGTCCCTGGGTAGTTGAAATTAAGAGAATGGTGATGACTTTTAACCAGCAAGCTGCCTTCAGGCACTTGTTTAACAAAGACACATCTTGCACAGCCCAAAATCCATTAAACCTTGAGTCACCGCAGCACATGTCTCTTGCAAGGACAAGGTTGGGGGTAGGGTCACAGATTAACAGCATCTCAAATACAGAACAAAATGGAGTCTCTTATGTCTACTTCTTTCTATATAGACACAGTAACAGGCTGATCTCTTTCTTTTCCCCACACCCCCGTTACTTAGCAGACAGCGAAAGGGAGTCTCCCTTCGTTGGAGGAGTCAGGGAACGCTCTGCTCCACCAGCTTCTGGTGGAAGGCTGGATATTATCCAGGCCTGCCCACAGTCATCCGGAGGCCTAAACCCCTCCCTGTGGTGCTGTGCTTCAGTGGTCACGATCCTTGTCCACTTTCATGCTCCTCCCATACTCCTGGTTCCTCTTTGAAGCTCGTAGTAGATAGCGGTAGAAGGAATAGTGAAAGTCTTAAATCTTTGATCTTTCTTATAAGTGCAGAGAAGAAAACACTGACGAATGCTGCCTTCTCTCTCTGCTTCAGCTACCCAAAAGGAGAGGGCCCGCTATCACATGACTTGCTTCCCTTTGTCAATCACTTACAAGATTCACCCTCCTTACCCTGCCCCCTTGTCTTGTATGCAATAAATACCAGTGAGTCCAGCCATTCGGGGTCGCTACCAGTCTCCGCATCTTGATGGTAGTGGTCCCCTAGGCCCAGCTGTTTTCTCTTTATCTCTTTGTCTTGTGTCTTTATTTATTACAATCTCTCATCTCCACACACGGGGAGAACACCTGCTAAGCCCCATAAGGCTGGGCCCTACATCTGGCGCTCCAACGTGGGTTTCTCCCTTCCTCTGTGAAGTTGCGCTTTGAGCCGGGGACTCAGCGGAGGACTTTCGACCACAGATTCCTGAGGATTGCAGTCAGTGAGCTTGGTGGTAAGCTTGGGCACTCAAGAGTATCCCGGGGACACCATGGGACGAGCCAGTACTAAGTACTCGGCTTACTTAAACTTTATAAAAATCCTCCTGTATTATCTCAATACAGGGCTGTCCCTGTTCAGCCCTGCTGTGGAGCTCTCTACCTTCCGCCTCTTCGGCCCCGATCCCTCTGAAGCCTAGTTTTTCATTTTTCACGCCTGTTTCTCTTTTGGAAACTCAGGCTCCCTTGAAGCCTGGTTCTCTTTAGACAAATCAGGCTCTCTTGAAGCCTGGGTGTCTCAGAAAATCAGCCTCCCTTGAAGCCTGGGTCTCTCTCCATAAATCAGGCTCTCTTGAAGCCTGGGTCTCTTTCGACAAATCCGGCTCCCTTGAAGAAGCCTCAGGCTCCCTTGAAGCCTGGTCCGTAGTTACCGTGGCAGCCTGGACTTCAGGCCCATGAAAGATCTGCTCAGCAGGTAATCTCGTCTCATCCTGGTTTACAGGTTCTCAACTCTTTCTCCATTCAAAATTCCAACCTTTTTTCTGCTTCTGATCCGGTGGCTACTACGATTGCCACCACTACCCTTGCCGCTCACAAGCAACAAGTTACATACGTTCCTCAAAATGACACTCCTCTTATGAGAGCTATAACACAGGCAAGAGAATACGGGGATCCTGAAGCCTGGCAATTTCCTGTAATTTTATAACCTCCAATACCTGCCATCCCTGCGACACAAAATCAGCCACAGCCCACTGATCTTGCTCAGCAGACCGCTGATCTTGCGGCACCTTCACGCTTCGTGTTAATATCTTGTTTTTCTAAAGTACAACAAGCAGTTGCAACAGCCAGTTTGGTTATAGCTCCAGAAAAAAATCCAGACTTCTTCTCCTTATCACTATTTAGGAATGCAGCTAGAAGACAAGGTTATTAAGCCCTCCAAAATCATTGTTCCCCTCACCCGATTACAAGTCCAACAGGTTTTTGCAACCTACATTCCTTGGCAAGTACATTTGGCAGGTTTCCCAGGTATAATAGATAATCATTATCCCAATGTAGAACTATTACAGTTCCTTAAATTCACTTCTTGGATTTTACCTAACATTACTAGAAACACCCCATTAGCTGAAGCTGTCACTGTTTTTATTGATGCTTCCTGTAATGGCCACGTAGCATATACAGGACCTGTGTTCTCAACACAGGAGCTATTTTAGCACAACAGCTGAGCTGATTGCTGTCATGGCTGTTCTTGAAGATTTCCCTGAACCAGTTAACATTGTTGGCCGGGCGCGGTGGCTCAAGCCTGTAATCCCAGCACTTTGGGAGGCCGAGATGGGCGGATCACAAGGTCAGGAGATCGAGACCATCCTGGCTAACATGGTGAAACCCCGTCTCTACTAAAAATACAAAAAAAAAACTAGCCGGGCGAGGTGGCGGGCGCCTGTAGTCCCAGCTACTCGGGAGGCTGAGGCAGGAGAATGGCGTAAACCCGGGAAGCGGAGCTTGCAGTGAGCTGAGATCCAGCCACTGCACTCCAGCCTGGGCGACAGAGCGAGACTCCGTCTCAAAAAAAAAAAAAAAAAAAAAACCAACAACAACAAAAAAACATTGTTTCTGATTCTGCGTATGTAGTAAGTGTTGCTCACAACATTGAAACTGCCTTGGCCGGGCGCGGTGGCTCAAGCCTGTAATCCCAGCACTTTGGGAGGCCGAGACGGGCGGATCACGAGGTCAGGAGTTCGAGACCATCCTGGCTAACACGGTGAAACCCCCGTCTCTACTAAAAAATACGAAAAACTAGCCGGGCGAGGTGGCGGGCGCCTGTAGTCCCGGCTACTCGGGAGGCTGAGGCAGGAGAATGGCGTAAAAACCCGGAAGGCGGAGCTTGCAGTGAGCTGAGATCCAGCCACTGCACTCCAGCCTGGGCGACACAGCGAGACTCCGTCTCAAAAAAAAAAAAAAAAAAAAAAGAAAGAAACTGCCTTAATCAAATTTCTGCCTGATGATAACCTACTTTTTCTTTTCCAAGGGTCTCAGTCTGTACTCAGAGCAAAGTCTTCTCCTTTCTACATTACTCACATTCGGGCTCACATACCCCTCCCCGGATCCCTCTTGGCAGCAAATGCCTGAGCTGATACGTTAGTTGCTCCCGTTTTTACAGATGCAGAAAATTTTAATGTTTTAACTCATGTCAATGCTGCAGGACTCAGGAAAAAGTTCCCCCTTACATAGAAACAAACTAAAACCATTGTACATCACTGTCCTACTTGTCAAGTGTTAATGTTACAGCCGCTTCCATCCGGAATTAATCCTCGAGGCCTTTCCCCCAACGCACACTGACAAATGGATGTAACCCACTTTCCAGCTTTTGGGAGACTTTCTTTTGTACATGTAACAGTGGACACCTTTTCCCACTTCATCTGGGCTACGTGCCAAACAGGAGAAAGTACTGCTCATGTTAAACGACACATGCTTTCCTGTTTCTCAGTTATGGACTGCCCCATTAAGCTTAAAACTGATAATGGTCCCGGCTATACTATCATTGCCTTTAAAAAGTTCACTCAGAGGCCGGGCGCGGTGGCTCAAGCCTGTAATCCCAGCACTTTGGGAGGCCGAGATGGGTGGATCACGAAGTCAGGAGATCGAGACCATCCTGGCTAACATGGTGAAACACCGTCTCTACTAAAAAATACAAAAAACTAGCCGGGCGAGGTGGCGGGCGCCTGTAGTCCCAGCTACTCGGGAGGCTGAGGCAGGAGAATGGCGTGAACCCGGGAGGCGGAGCTTGCAGTGAGCCGAGATCCGGCCACTGCACTCCAGCCTGGGCGACAGAGTGAGACTCCGTCTCAAAAAAAAAAAAAAAAAAAAGTTCACTCAAACATGGGGCATTAATCACACTACTGGAATTCCCTGTAATTCTCAAGGACAAGCACTGGTGGAACAAGCTAATAAATCTCTCAAAGACCAGCTTCGCAAACAAGATAATAAAAAGAAAGGGGATGTCAGTACTCCCTGTGCACAGTTAAATTTAGCTCTGTTCAGATTAAATTTTTAAAATCTGGCTAAAAACCAACTTTTCACAGCAGCAGAACAACACTTTACTGGTAATAAATTTGACCCACAAAAAGGCAAGAGTATGGCGGAAGGACATAACAACTAATAAATGGGAATTAGGCACTGTAATAACATGGGGTGGGGGTTTTGCTTGTGTCTCCCCAGGAAAGGACCAACAAGCTATTTGGCTTCCCTCCAGTCAGTTGAAATTGTACCATGACTCCAGCCTTGAAGAACCGTCAGAAACAAAAGGCGAACAACCGCCAGAAATCGAAGCACAAGGCTCGTCGCCTGACTAATAAAATTTGTAATCTTAACTTCGCATCACAGGGTCGCCCCACAACTCCCGATACAAAAAATTCCACCCTACTGACGTGGGGTCAGATAAAAGTAATTTCCAAAGAGGTTGAGAGACACCTACAGGATAAAGTGATTCCAAAAACTACAGATAATATTATCTTGGCTGCCTTTATGGTAGTTACTGCAGTGGTAAGTATACCTGGGGCTGTAGCAACTCAAAATTATACCTACTGGGCATATGTCCCGTTTCCCCCTCTTATTTGATATGTTTCATGGGTGGATTCCTCAGTGGAGGTTTATACTAATGACAGTGCATTCATGCTGATCCCTAATGATGACAGATTTCCAGCTCAACCAGATGAAGAAGGAATGCCTTTTAATGTGTCCATTGGATATAGATTTCCACCATTGTGCATAGGAATTGCACCTGGCTGTTTGGCATGCTCTAATCAAAATTGGATGTGGACTGCAGGCCTCTAGTAATGATTCTTATCAGGTGCATAAGTTTTCAGCAGTAATTCTTTTCAGGTCCTGACCGTTAAAATAAATTCATTGAGGAACAGAGAATTCTTGTCTCAATAAAACACAATGAAACACAAGAATTGCCACACTGTTTAAAAGACACTATAAAGGGAGCTTTAATAATTCAAAATATTCTATGGAGTGATTGCAATGCTCCAAAAGCAGCAGTGCTACAGAGTCCCACCACAGGTATTGCCATTGACTGGGCCCCAAAAGAGTATTATTGACGAGATTGCTCTGGCCAAAATACCCAATGTTCAGAGTTTATTGATTATGAAGAAGAAGGTTGGCACTCCTATAAAAAGAAGGAATGGGTGTCTCCTTACCCATTCAAATGGTTGGACAAGGGCATTGTTCCTCCTAGACCAAAAATGATTCATCCTGTAGTTACCCCAGAACATCCTGAATTGTGGAGGTTGGCTGCAGCCATGTCCAGAATTAGATTATGGAATGCAGCTTATCAAAAAATTCTTGCAAATACCAAAACAAACATGTATAAGATCACTTTAATGTCTGATAGGATGGTACCCATGAGGAGCTGTGTTAAACCACCATATATATTATCGGTTGGAAACATAATTATCATCCCTGATAGTCAAACTATTGAATGCAATAATTGCAAATTGTTTATGTATATTGATGCTACATTTGATCCAAAAACAAGTGTTCTCCTGGTCAGAGCCAGAGAAGAGGTATGGATACCAGTTTCTTTACACTGCCCCTGGGAATCTTCTCCCTTCTATTCATATAGTCAATGAAGCCCTAAAAGGAATCCTTAAAATAACTAGGAGATTCATTTTTACACTCATTGCTGTGATTGCAGATTTAATTGCTGTTACCCTTTCACACTATGAATAAAGTCAGTTTCCTTCCTTGGCTTCCAGGGCCCCGCCCACCTATTCCTATTTCCTCTCTCGCCAGAACTGCCGTACAGAACAAAGCTTTCGGTTTAAGCAGACATTGCCCACATTTGTTTCAGATTGTCCCAAGCTATTGTGTTGTGTTAAATGATGAGTGTTTTTGCCTGAAACTGTAATGTCGAAATATCACATCTGGCTGGGTGCAGTGGCTCACACCTGTAATCCCTGGGAGGCTGAGGCAGGCAGATCACTTGAGGTCAAGAGTTCAAGACCAGCCTGATCAACATGACAAAACACTGTCTCTAGTAAAAATACAAAAATTAGCTGAGCATGGTGGCATGCACCTGTAGTCCCAGCTACTCAGGAGGTTGAGACGAGAATCACTTGAACCCGGGAGACGGAGGTTGCAGTGAGCCAAGATTGCACCACTGTACTCCAGCCTGGGTAACAGAGTGAGATTCCATCTCAAAAATAAAAATAAAAATTCATATCTAATAGTGAATTTACTTAGTGTGTTTCTCAGTGAGAAAAAGAAGTTAGCTGGCTGTGATGGCTCACGCCTATAATCCCAGAACTTTGGGAGGCTGAGGCAGGAGGAGCACTTGAGCCCAGGAGTTTGAGACTAGCCTGGCCAACACAGGGAGACCCCATCTCTACAAAAAATACAAACATTAGCCAGGCGTGGTGGCAGTTACTCAGGAGGCTGAGGTGGGAGGATTACTTGAGCCTGGGAGGTCAAGGATGCAGTGAGCTGTGATCACGGCACTGCACTCCAGCCTGGACAACAGAGCAAGACAGCAAGACCCTGATCAACAACAACAAAAAAGAGGGCCTGGTACGGTGGCTTGCATCTGTAATCTCAGCACTTTCTTTCTTTTTTTTTTTCTGAGATGGAGTCTCACTCTGTCGCTCAGGCTGGAGTGCAGTGGCACGATCTCGGCTCACTGCAAGCTCCGCCTCCCAAGTTCACACCATTCTCCTGCCTCAGCCTCCTGAGTAGCTGGGACTGCAGGTGCCCGCCACCATGCCCAGCTAATTTTTTTGTATTTTCAGTAGAGACGGGGTTTCACCATGTTAGCCAGGATGGTCTCGATCTCCTGACCTTGTGATCCACCTGCCTCGGCCTCCCAAAGTGCTGGGATTACAGGTGTGAGCCACTGCGCCTGGCCAATCCCAGCACTTTCAATTTGGGAGACTGAGGTGGGTGGATAGCTTGAGCCCAGGAGCCTGAGACCAGCCTGAGCAACATAGCAAGACCCTGTTTCTACAAAGAAATAGAAAAACTTAGCAGCACATGGTGGTGCGTGCCTGTAAGCCTGGGCAACAGAGCAAGACTCTGTCTGGGAAAAAAAAAAAAAAAAAAGAAAGGATAGAGGAGTAGGGAACTATTATATGCAAAAAGGAGTCGCGTCCAAAACGGCGTAACTGGGTGAGAGGCGTGTGGTGATGCGGGTTAAGACTCCGTCTTAAAAAGAAAAGAAAAAAACACAACGCAAATGAACAGACACTTCACCAAAGAAGATACACAACTGCAGCCAGGCGGGGTGACTCGCACCTGTAATATCAGCACTTTGGAAGGCTGAGGTGGGAGGATGACTTGAGCTCAGGAGTTCCAGACCATCGTGGGCAACATGGAGAGACCCCATCTCTACTAAAAATAAAAAAATTAAGGCCGAGTGCGGCGGATCACACCTGTAATCCCAGAACTTTGGTAGACCGAGGTGGGCAGACCACCTGAGGTCGGGAGTTTGAGACCAGCCTGACCAAAATGGAGAAACCCCATCTCTACTAAAAATACAAAATTAGCCTAGCATGGTGGTGCACGCCTGTAATCCTAGCTAATCAGGAGGCTGAGGCAAGAGAATTGCTTGAACCCGGGAGGCGGAGGTTGCAGTGAGCCAAGATCACGCCATTGCACTCTAGCCTGGGCAACAAGAGTGAAACTCCGTCTAAAAAAACAATTATCTAGGCATGGTGGCATGCATCTACGGTTCCAGCCACTTGGGAAACCCAGGTGAGAGGATCGCTTGAGACCAGGAGACAGAGGCTACAGTAGGCTGAGGTCGTGCCACTGCACTCCAGCCCCAGCAACGGTGACAAAGTGAGACCCTGTCCAAAAACACAACAAAACAAAACACACCAGTGCTGCGTGCAGTGGGTCACACCTGTAATTCTACTTTGGGAGGCTGAGGTGGGAGGATCCCTTGAGTCCAGGAGTTCGAGACCAGCCTGGACAACAAAGCAAGACACAATCTATTTTTTGTTGTTGTTTTTTGAGACAGAGTCTCGCTCTGTTGTCCAGGCTGGAGTGCAGTGGTACCATCTCGGCCTAATGCAGCCTCCGCCTCAGCCTCCCTAATAGCTGGGATTACAGGCGCCAGCCACCACGCCCGGCTAATTTTTGTGTGTTTTTGGTCTTGCTGTGTTGGCCATGTTGGTCTCAAATTCTTGGCCTCAAAAGATCCACTCTCTGCAGCCTTCCAACGTGCTTGGATTACAGGCATGAGCCACCATGCCCAGCCACTCTTAATTTTTATTTTAATTTTTTTGAGAAAGAGTCTCACTCTGGTACCCAGGCTGGAGTGCAGGGACGTGATCTCTCCCTCCTAGGTTCAAGTGATTCTCATGTCTCAGCCTCCTGAATAGCTGGGATTACAGAAATGTGCCATCGCACCCAGCTAATTTTTTTTGTATTTTTAGTAGAGACAAGGTTTTACCATGTTGGCCAGGCTGGTCTCAAACCTCTGACTTCAAGTGTTCTGCCCACCTCGGCCTCCCAAAGTGCTGGGATTACAGGTGTATCCCAGCCTATATACATATAATTTTGTTTGGAGTGAGGGACGGAGTTGCGCTCTGTCGCCAAGGCTGGAGTGCAATGGCACTATCTCGATTAACTGCAAACTCCACCTCCCAGGTTCACATCATTCTCCTGCCTCAGCCTTCCCAGTAGCTGGGACTACAGGCATCTGCCATCACGCCCGGCTAATTTTTTATATTTCTAGTAGAGATGGGGTTTCGCCACGTTAGCCAGGATGGTCTCGATCTCCTGACCTCGTGATCAGCCTGCCTCGGCCTCCCAAAGTGCTGGGATTACAGGTGTGAGCCACTGTGCTCGACCCCCAGCCAATATTTTTAAAAATAATTTCATGGTATATCCACACAAGGGAGTGGATATACTCAGCAATAAAATTATTTACTCAGCAATAAAAATGCTTGTTGAGATGGGTGCGGTGGCTCACGTCTGTAATCCCAGCACTTTGGTAGGCTGAGGCGGGTGGATCACCTGAGGTCAGGAGTTCGAGATCAGCCTGGCCAACATGGCGAAACCCCATCTCTGCTAAAAATACAAAAATTAGCTGAGAGTGGTGGTGGGCGCTTGTAATCCCAGCTACTCAGGAGGCTGAGGCAGGAGAATTGCTTGAACCCAGGAGGCGGAGGTTGCAGTGAGTGAAGATGGCGCCACTGCACTCCAGCCTGGGTGACTGAGACTCTGTCTCAAACAAACAAACAAACAAAAAAGCTTGTTGAACGGCCGGGCGCGGTGGCTCAAGCCTGTAATCCTAGCACTTTGGGAGGCCGAGACGGGCGGATTACAAGGTCAGCAGATCGAGACCATCCTGGTTAACACGGTGAAACCCTGTCTCTACTAAAAAATACAAAAAACT